TATATGCATGTGGCCAATCACAGTACACTTCATACATGGGCAGCATCGTGAAACAATAATTATCAGGATTTAAGTACTTATTATTGTACCTTTAATGATTGAGAAGCATACTGTCCTAAGAAATTCTTTTCCTGTGAATTGCAGTATACAAATTTGATAATATCAGCACAGTCTGTACAAACAATGTGACATCTAGAAAAATTAAAAAAATATCAACTCTTATTTTTGCAATTGTTGGGTTAGTAGAATAAGAGGTTACTAATAATAATTGTGCACAAAATAGTTGTGCATATGTAACTTTAATAACTTTTAATTTATTTAACATCAATCATTAGTAAGTGGTATGTACATGTAGTACACAAAATTAAATTTTTAAAGGTGCATGAGTACAACAATGAGTATAATTAGTAAGAGATTATAAGAAATATAATTAAGAGAAATAATATAAAAGAGTCAACGATAATTGAATGTGAAAGTCAGCAAAAAACTTCATTGGGTAAAGCCCTTAGTGAAGAAGACAGAAGTACATTTGTAGGGACCAACAACTTGTCTAACTATTTTCAAAGTTAAATAATAAAGTTTGAGCTCATTCCAATCAAAATTAAATTTTTTAAAGTTTGCTCAAAAATTGAGCCAAAGACCAAACCTTAACATTGGCTTATTCTTCATTTGTATAATTATTTATTTCTGATACACTAGTACTTATTGTGCAGAAATTTTGAGCTGATTCCAATCAGAATTAAATTTTTATGAATTTTTAAAGTTGATTTAAAAGCCCTGTAATATTGACTATGTAATGTGAGAACTGGGCTGAGTAAGTTCTTGTCAGCCTAGCTCATTAAGCATGAAAAACCTGCCCACATGTTGATACATAACATGTTGAGCCACGAGTCAAGGAGTTTAATGTCATTATGAAAGCATAAAGATTAAACTCATACATGCTAAGAGACAGGGGCATAGCTGGGAAGGAAGTGCTAAGAGAGGCTAGAGATAAGTGATGCGCGAAGCGCACTGAAAATTTGGACGCACCCCTTTTAGCGATCATATAATGCACTAAAATAGCATTTTGCTTATTTTAAAGCATCAAATTCTTACATTTTCAACAATAATTAATATAAAATGAGGGTTTTGTTTTTGCCTACTACTCATTTCTTGTACATTTGCTGCTGTGCAATGTATTTTAAATGATTACAAGTTGGTTAATTTTTATTACTAGGTGGTAGGTAATAAAATAAACAATCAATATCATTATCAACAAAAATTGATGGGGGGGGGGCAGGCCCATGTAGGCCCTCTCAGATACGCCCCTGCTAAGAGACATTAACTAAAAAATAACTTGTTATCAATAGCTGAACTGATACATAATCCATTGAAGAATGACTTACTAAACCACGCCCAAAGCCCAAGTGTATTTACGTAGCGTATATCTAGCACTTCTATAACTCACTCCTTATTTTGTGTATCTGGCACTTCTATATTCAGTACTTAATAATATT